GGCAGAAGGCCGTGGCAGTGGAAGGGCGCACGCCCTGCGCAGGACCCTGGAGGCCGCGGCGCAGAACCCGGGCTGCCAGGCCGCCGCTGCCGTCGTCGTCGTCGTCGTCGCCGCCGCCGCCGTCGTCGTCGCTGCCGTCGTCGAGGTCGTCGTCGTCGTCGCCGCTGCCGCCGTTGTCGTCGCCGCCGCCGCCGCCGCCGCCGCCGCCGCCGCCACCGCCTTCGTCGTCGCTGTCGCCGTCGTCGTCGTCGTCGTCGTCGTCGTCGTCGTCGTCGTCGTCGTCGTCGTCGTCGTCGCGGTCGTCTATGTCGCGACTGTCGTCGTCGTCGCCGTCGCCGTCGTCGTCGTCGTCGTCGCCGCCGTCGTCGTCGTCGTCTTCGTCGTCTTCGTCGTCGTCGTCGCTGTCGTCTACGTCGCTATCGTCGTCGTCGTCGCTGTCGCCGGTTTCGACGTGGTCGGCGTCGTCGTCGTTGTTGTCGTCGTCACCTCCGTCGTCCACGCGGGGTTGGCTAACGTTGCCCCTCCTTCTCCTCCTCGTCCTCCTCCTCCTCCTCCTCTTCTCCTGGGCCTTCGAGCGGATGGCTGTTTGTTGGGCCTCTGGCCCCCCCCCTCGCAGGGCTCGCTTCGATTCCTTGGATTCGAGTCGATTCGATTCCCATGGCTTCCGATTCCGATTCGATTCGACTTAGGCCTACTCGCCTGCCGATGGCCGCCAGTTCGACTTCTTCCGACTCGTCTTTTGATGTCCGCCGGTTCGTTTCATGCCAATCGCCGATCCGGCTTACATCGATTCGACTTTGGTCTCTCCTGCCCTTGCCAGGCCCCAGGACCGTCAACAGAAAACGGCTCGGGAGAATATGCTGGCCTTGGGGAACGGGTCGGGATAATCAGCTGGTCTTGGGGAGCGGGTCGGGATCATAAGCTGGTCTCGGGGAGCGGGTCGGGATCACATGCTGGTCTCGGGGAGCGGGTCGGGATCATAAGCTGGTCTTGGGGAGCGGGTCAGGGGGGCAGAATAAGAGTTACGTTCTCCCTCTCGGCTCACGGTGTGTGGGTCCTTCGGATCTTGGCGCCCGCCCGCTGCTGTGCCCGCGCCAGAGGGAGCACAGAGAGCAGATGGTGCCGTTGTGGAGGGCCCTCTGGAAACCGAATGGAACACACACAAAACAAATAACTGGTCGGGACTTCGTGGGCTGTTGTCTGCGCACGCCAGCCGCATATTCGGTAGCACAGCATAGGAGCCTTGCATACCCTCGTAGTTCCGTTTCCTCTTTCGAGTGCGCTGGCGTCGGTGAGCGTCTGGTAATCGACGAGGTAGCGCCGATTTCGTGTCGACTGGCGTCGATTGGTGTCGATTCGCGTCGATTCGCGAGAGACAGCAAGTTGGTGTGGGAGGCTCCCATGAGTTGTCGCAGAAAGCTGCACAATGAGGTTCGTACCAGCGCGAGGCGCTGGCTGGCGAGGCGCTGGCCGGCGCTTCAGAAATCTGCTCCGCGGGGGGCACGCTTCGCACGTGGTTGCGTGCCAGGTGCGCCCGCCATGAGGCGGCAAGGTCCGCTTCCCGCAGCTGAGCACCAACTCACTGGAGAAGGGAGAACCACCACCTCCATCTAGGGGGGCTGACCGCTCCCCCCCCCCGAGCTGGTGGCACTCGTTCCAGGCGCTCCCCCAGAGAGTGCCCGGGCTCGGAGTGCTACCAGCTCGCGCTCCCGAGCGTTCCGGAGCGCTCCCAGGCATTCTCGGAAGGCTCTGAGGAGGCCGCGGCGCCCGAGACTTCCTCCAGAGCCGCCAAATCTCAGAGACCCTCGATTTATCCTCACCCAATCTTATCCTCGTCCTGGCCTCGTCTCATTCTTCCTGCTCTCGTGACCGACGGCCCTGCTTCGAGGACGACGCTGGGGTGGGGTGGTGTATACTTTTTCCCCGATGTCCCGGGAAAATAACGAGACATGTATACACCAGGGTCCCGTATACACCAGGATCCGCTCTCCAGTGCAAATTCCAATGCAGGGCCGGAAGAAGAAGAAGAAGAAGAAGAAGAAGAAGAAGAAGAAGAAGAAGAAGAAACATAAGAATAAGAAGAAGAAGAAAAAGAAGAAGCGTCGGTGTGTAGAAGCGTCCTGCTGCTCCTCCTCCTCTTCCTCCTCCTCGTCGTCGTCCTCCTCCTCCTCCTCCTCCTCCTCCTCCGTCGCGCTCGATGGCTGGGGCGTCGGAGCAGCGTGTCAAGCAGGCGTGTCGGGCCTCTGGGCTCGGGGCCGCCCGCCGCCGAACCGCTCCCCCAGGGGGCCGCCCGAGACCCTCGCCAAGGGGGGGGGGGGCTCCTGGGCCCCAGACCTCCTCCTCCTCCTCCTCCTCCTTCTCTCATCCCTCCTCCTCCTCCATCCTCCTCCTCCTCCCCCTCCTGCTCCTCCTCCTCCCCTCCTCCTCCTCCTCTCCTCCTCTCCTTCCTCTCCTCTCCTCTCTCCTCCTCCTCCTCCTCCTCCTCCCTCTCCTCCTCCCTCTCCTCCCCCTCCCTCTTCTCCTCCCTCTTCTCCTCCTGCTCCTCCTGCTCCTCCTCCTCGAGAAGACGCAGAGCGGAGACGTCTCCAGCCCACGGCTGCAGCTTGCCCAGGCGTGCCCGTGCCAGCGCCCTCTGTGGCTCCTCCGAGGCGCTGCGCGCCCACGGGGGAAGGCGCAGGCGCAGAGGGTGCCCGCCCCTCCTGAGAGTCGGGGGCGATCGCCAAACATGGATTCAGGAGGGAGGAGGAGGGGAGGTAGGAGGAGGAGGTGGAGGAGGGGAGGAGGAGGAGGAGGAGATGAGGAGGAGGAGGAGGGGAGGGGGAGGAGGAGGAGGAGGAGGAGGAGGTGAGGAGCGAGGAGGAGGAGGAGGAAGGAGGAGGAGGAGGAGAGAGAGGAGGAGGAGGAGGAGGAGGAGGAGGAGGAGGAGAGGAGGAGGAGGAAGGAGGAGGAGGAGAGGAGGAGGAGGAGGAGGAGGGGAGAGGAGGAGGAGGAGAGGGAGGAGGAGGAGGAGGAGGAGGAGGGGAGGAGGGAGGAGGAAGAGGAGGAGGAGGAGGAGGCAGGAGGAGGAGGAGGAGGAGGAGGAGGAGGAGGAGGAGGAGGAGGAGGAGGAGGAGGAGGTCGCCGCCCACCACACCACCCCCAATCGGGCGATCGCAAACATGGATTCAGGGGGCGTGGATTAGCGACGGGTCCCGTTTCCATGGGCAATCGGGGACTACTGCCGCCGAGCGAGGCGGCACCGGCCACATTTTGGCGAGGGCACCTCCCCCGATCCAGGGCTTTGGCG